TACTGGCTGGGATGGGGATCTGAACCCTTGACCTTGGTATTATAACACCAACTGAGCAACTATCGGTGCCTTTAGCTCAAAATAATCCTTATGCCAAAGTGGCATATTTTGGGGTGGTGTACTCTGATCCCCTACACCTTTTAGGTGTGTGTCTGGGGTAGATGTCACTTCAGAGAGCACAGTCCAGATTTGGGTGGAGGGTGAGGGAACCACTGACCCCAAATCCTGTGGTCCTGTGCATCCCACAGCTGAAGCTGGCAGAGGACATGAAATATCTTCAGGAGGAGATGAAGATGATGCAGAAGCTCCAGGCCAAGGAGGAGCAGACCTTAGCCAAGTGGCAGGTGAGTGCCGGAGCTNCGGCCATCGCCGGTCAGCCCCGGACGCCTGGCGTGGTGCGAGGGCCACCTCCCTGTGAGTACCGGCCCTGCAGGCCACCCTCCTGCGGCCTCTGGGTCAGAACCCCGGGTCCACCCCCGCCTTCTAACGGCGGCGCCTTCCCACCCCTCCCGGCCGTCCTGTCCCTGCAGAGGGTGATACGTGGGAACCGTGGACACTCAGGCCCCGCTGTCACCTGGATGAGCCCGGCATTAACAAAGGAACATCCCCCGGACGGAAGGTGACCGGAGCCTTGATGACAGCCTCTGCCCAGACTGAGTCAGACCCCCAGCTCACTGGACGCTCCCCATCCCTGGCTTCTGTCCGCGTAGACAGTGTCCCCCAACCCTGAGGACCAGGGAGAGAGCTGACGCGAAGAGCTAGGCACGCAGGACGCGCTGATAAAGCTCGCAGGGGACAGACTCCGAATGTCTGCAGTCCATAGACGCCATCGCTTTCGGGATTGCAGAAAAAAAGAGGAGATGGTGCTTGGAGTTTAGAAACGATTTTCAAATCCCTTTTCTAACTCGGTCCGACAGCACCCCCGTGAAGTAGGCAGGCGAAGCTGTGGATCTCCACTGCGTGGGGTTACATATTCTAACTCCACAGGGTGCCCGTGTGCTCGCGTGTGTGTGCCTGTTCATGTCTGTGTGAGTTTGTGTGTGGGACAGTGTGTATGTGCATGCATGTTTATGTGTGTGCCTGTGTGTGTTTACATGTGTTTCTATGTGTACATGTGTTTGTGCATGGCTGAGTACATGTTTGTGCATTTGCATGTATGCATATGTATGTATATTTGTGTCTACATGTGCTTTGTAATTGTGTACATGTTGTGCATGTGTGTGCACCTGAGTTGGTGTGCTGTGTGCACATGTGTATATTTGTAAGCATGGGTGTGTTTGTGAGTACGCATGTTTGTGCATGCATGTGTGTGTATACGTGTTTGTCCACATACACACATGTATTAGTGTGTGCATGTGTTTGTGCATTCATGTGTATGTATATGTGTGTGTACACACACACAGAGTGTGTCTTTTCCAAACTGCTCTTCACTCCCTAATGGAAGACATCTTTTTTCTTCTTAAAGTATGCTTTTCCTTGGTTTTTTTTTTGTATTTTTCCGTGTCCGGCAACGGATCGCAACCCTCAGTGTCACCCCCGCACCGGACCGGGACC